AAAAAAAAAAAAAAAAAAAAAAAAAAAAAAAAAAAAAAAAAAATCCAGCTTTATAGGCAGGAAGCCTAGGGCTTGGTGTTTGTTCGTGCTTGTTAATATTGGTTTAAAATGTTTTAGGGGGCTGGGGAAATGGTTCAGTGGATATACAAACTTGCTGCTCTTGCGAGAACCTGGCTTCAGTCTCCAGCACTAATGTCAGGCAGCTCATCACCACTTGTAGCTCTTAGCTCTAGGAGATCTGAAGCTCTCTTCTGGCCTATGTGGGTACCCACAAGCATGTGTGAACATACATTCACATGCATATACATGCAAATTACTAAAATAAATCTTAATATTTTAAACATTTTTTTATTTCTTTCCTCCTGGCATAGAGATTACACTACTTTCACTCTTTAAATTTTAGACACATATGTGATGCTTTGCCCCTGCAAACAAGCTTCAGAGTAATCTTTAACGTCAATTTCTTTTCCCTTTAGAAGACTGGTGACACTACAGTCACAATGAAAACATCCAGGGTGCATCAATCTGTTCCATTAAACCACTTGTACTCTCAAGATAGACATGCTCAAGAAACAGACATATATGGTTTTAGGTTGCTTAACATTTTAGGATTGTCCAGCACAGCAGGACAGCTAATCTATTCTCTGTTTGCCTCTGTGTGTTTGTGTGTCGATGTGTATGCATGTATGTGTACATGTATGTGTGTAGGTGTGTGCATGCCAGAGGTCTAAGATGAATACCTTTCTCACCCACTATTCACCTTAGCTTCTGAGATCTCACTGAATTTGGAGCTCACCAATTTGGAAAGACTGGCTGGTCAGCGAGCCCAGAGATCCTTCTGCTTCCATCTCCCCAGCATTGAATTACATGTGCACGGTAGCCCTCAGTTATTACATGGGTTCTGGGGATTAAACTATGGCCCCTGTGTGTGAACAGCATTCAGTCCCATTGCCTGACTCCCAAGTTAGACTATTCTGAGGCATTCATTTTTAAAAATACACTGCTTTATTCATGTATACATTCACTTTAAAAGAATATATTTAAACTTTCATCAAAAACTAAAGCGTCTTTAAGAATTTCTCAAAATCATCTACTGAAGTTTTGGCAATTTCTTTGCAGAACACTTCATCAGGAATAGATACGAACTTGTCCAAAGAGACATAGTTAGTTTTTGCTGGATCATACTGCGCTTTTCCCAAGTAGGCAAGAAATGAGTGTCTTTCTTTAATTTTAAATACTCTTGTATTAAATACCTGGAAAAGAAAGGAATTTACAATAAGAAGCTGAAATACTAACAAAATTACTTGGTTCCTATTTTAGTAAGTTAGTGACATTGACTATATGTTCAATAACTATGATTACTGCTACAGGAATTTAATTCTACAGTTGAGAAGTTATAGTTAAACAGGCTGAGGGAGTAGATCAATTGAAAGATAAATGTCTAGGATAGGAGAGGATCTGAGTTTGATTCCCAGCACACATGTAAGTATTATTAGATAAGAAATAATGAGTTGAGCATAGTGGTATCCACCTGCAATTACAGCTCTTGGTAAGCTGAAGCAAGAGTGATAAGTTTAGAGCCAGCCTAGAGCCAGCCTCGCTCACATAGTAAGTTCCAAAGTAAGCCTGAGCTATTGGGCAGAAGTCCTGGGCTATAGAGCAAAAGCCCATCTTTAAGAAAAATGAAGGTAGAGCCGGGCAGTGGTGGCGCATGCCTTTAATCCCAGCGCTTGGGAGGCAGAGACAGGCGGATCTTGAGTTTGAGGCCAGTCTGGTCTACAGATCGAGTTCCAGGACAGGCTCCAAAACAATACAGAGAAACCCTGTCTCAGGGAAAAAAAAAAAAAAAAAAAAAAAAAAAAAGAAAAAAATAAAGGTAAATTATGATTTAAGAGGGACTAAGAATCAACACAGAATGATAATGAAAGAAAATCTTTGCTGGGCAATGGTTGTGTACACACCTTTAATCCCAGCACTTGGGAGGCAGAGACAGGCGGATCTCACAGTTTGAGGCCAGGCTGGTCTACAGAGCAAGTTCCAGGACATTCAAGGAGCGGGCTACAGAGGGCAACCCTGGGGGGTGGGAGGCTTCACTGAGGACTGCCAACAAGATAACTCAGGAGAGCATTGGAAGAGCAAATCCTTAGGCCTCACCCCAAAACCACTTCATCTGACACCTGGGAATGAGGCATAGAAATCTGTTTTAACAAGCTTTTTAGATTCTAGATTACCTGCTAAGTTTGAGAACCAGCATTAAGAGACTATTAAGATCTATGTCAGGAAAAAGGAATTCAGCAAATCCACAGCACCACACCCGGAAGCCTGAGTGCAGGGCAAGGGCAGCTGTCTGAAAGAGCTGGGAGACGTGTTACCTGTGGGAATTTGACAATGATGTGGTGGGGGATATTCATCACGTTGTGTATATAATCAAAAGTCTCCGTAAGTTTCCTTTTGTTTGCAGTTAGCATCTTTGGAATTCTGGTGACCATATGTTGAATTTCATTTTGTTTAAAACCAAGTTCAAGGCGATAAACCTAGAAGAAAATAAATTCCTGGGAGTCATGAGTAGGAACGGTCTTTTGATACTATGCTGGAGGGCAAACTGATTCTTCTGAATTTTAAAATTCAGGGCATTTATACCAGTGCCCCTCAAGGGATCATAACTCACTGGTTGGGGTCACCCAAATTTCAAACCCCTTACCCAAGCAAGAGCTTCTCTACATTGATGGCCATGAGGTTCACAGAAAAACATGAGATGGAGTAACATGTAGAGAAAGGAGGCCTGTGTGGACTGGCACAAGCCATCAGTGCTGACTCCCAGACAGAATGCAGGACTAGAAGCCCCTGTGTGATGTTATGGAGAAGAGTCAGAATAGAAAAAAAAAAAACAAAAAACAAAAAAAAAACCAGACTTAACTGCAAACAGACTGAGGGGAAGACTGTTGGAAATAAACAACTATCAAGACAGGCAGACTTCTACCCTCAAGACATACCTACAGCCCTCACAATCTTCAAAACACACTGCAGGTTTTGGTGAGACAGTGATTCCTGGGCCTGTGCTGGACAGGAATCTCACTTTGTCCTTTTGCACTCTGATATGCAGAGACTCTGTGCCATCTTGAAAGATAACATTATTTGAAACTGAGATACGCTGAAGGCTTGAATTTGGGGAACAATGAGACAGTGAGCTGGAATCCAATCTGCAATAGCCTCAGGGTGAGAGACAGCAGTGGAGGCAGAAGGTGAAAAGCACAGGCGGCCTACGTGGTGAATTACATAAGGAAAAGCAATCATGCCCTTGGTTGCCAGGGGCATATCAGCTCTGGACCCATTTCCCACCCACCGCTGTGAAGTCTGAAAATGTACTGGGAATGTTCTGTGATAGAAGTGGAGCTGAAAAGTGCCACAGGTGCCAAACACAACAATGCTCTGGTTTCTGCTCTCTTCCCAGAAGTTCCTTTGAGTCAGCCTCTGTACTGGCGGATGTTCTGTGAAGCTAGAGTCATCTTTTTTCCTCAGTTGAGGAAAGGCTTCAATGAGATCTAGCTCTGAGGCCATTTTCTCATTTAGTGATCTGTTGTGGAATATTACTTTATAACAGATGCATTACATTTGTTACAGTGCAGAACATTTAACTATGTAAAGGTGTGTTACATTTGTTTATAACGCATTTGTTTAGTTATGTAAGGGTGTGTTGCTTTGTCTGCCTAAGGCATCAGATTGATCAAATGAAAAACCTGAATGGCCAATAGCTAGGCAGCAGGGCGATAGGTGAGGCTGGTGGGCAGAGAGAATAAACAGGAGAAACCTAAGCTCAGGAGAAGGAGAGAGAAGAGAATAAGGGAGAAAGAGAGAGAGAGACGCTTGGGGCCAGCCAGACATGGAAGCAGCAGGAAAAATAGGATACACAGAATGTAAGAAAGGTAAAATGCCCCAAGGCAAAATGTAGACGAGGAGAAACAGGTTAAAAAAGTTATAAGAGCTAGTGGGATGATCATAAGATAAGACCAAGTATTCACAACTAAAAATAAGTCTCTGTATCATGATATAGGAGCTAGTTGGTGGCCCCAAAGAAAGTCTGCTACAGTGATCTCTGGGGAGGGCACAGCCCATGGAGGGTGCCGTCATCTCTGGTCCTGGGTTCTATAAGGAAGCAGGCTAAGAAAGTCATGAGGATCAAGCCAGTCAGCAGCACCCCTCCATGGCCTCTGTATCAGCCCCTGACTCCAGGATCCTGTCCTGACTGAGTTCCTGTCCTGACTTCCTTCAGTGATGAACAGCAATGCTGAAGTGTAAGCCTAATAAATCCTTTTCTCCCCAATTTGATTTTGGGGTTTTGGTTATGGTGTTTTGTCACAGCCATGGAAACCCTAACTAAGATAAGCCTCCAACATTCTCAAACCATAAATTCTCATGATAGTCAAAAGTGGTTTCACAAAATGGGAACATAGGCCAGGAAGCACACTCATGCCTGTCACACAAGGTAACCAAAAGCAGTTTCCAGGTCCCAATTACACCCCACTGCTTCAGGATCATGGGTCCCAATGTCTGTAGCTAAGTGAATTTTGGGAGACTGGGTAGCATGTGCAAGACCACTTGACGAAATAAACTGTCATTTCTGTCCTTCAGAAAAAACTTCTGTTAAAATCTGCTTTTTCATTTGTTTTTTTTTGCATGATGACAACAGCAGTATTTATTCTCTTAAGAAAACTTAAGAACATAAAGACATTAGCTTCTCACAGCTTGAAGATATGTTACCTTCATATTTTCTTTCACAGGCTCCAGACTTCCCGTTAGTAGCCTTGGAAGGCGAACAACCAGATCTCTAGTCTACAGTTAAAACATAATAATTATCATTACTATACATGCACGTTTAACCAGTTTGGAAAACTAAGGCATTACAAGGAATGCCAAGCTGAAATTTAAAATATGACCCAATCAAAGACATGACAGAAAGCTTGGAAATATGTATCAACTTAACATTATTTGATGAGAAACCCAACATGGAAACAAGATTAAGGAAGCTGTTTGGTGGTATACTATAAAGGGGTGGAGCCTCCTTTTCAATCTGTCAGGCTAACTCATGCATTTATAGGATCTGTGGAGGTCAGGCACTTAGAAGCGTAGCATTTAAAGGTTACTAAAAGAGGGAATACATTTCTTTACACTTTTTTTTTTTTTTTTTACCTTCTTCACACTCAGTTCAAGTTCTTTCTGAAAAAATCCCAGTCTGTTATCCAGCCTTTCCACAGAGAAGCTCAACAGAAATGGTGCATTTCTCACCATCCGTGCGATATCTGCCTTAGTGAAATTTTTTGATTGTAGATAGGCTACTCTGGAGAAATAATAAAAACAAACATACGCATGATAAACATTTCCTAGAGAAATAAAGTATATTATGCTTTCTGAAGGAACATCTAGAGTTTTTTTTGAGGCTTTGAGTACATACAGGAGTACTGTTATTTACATAGCTTCCTCCCCCACTCCTGTGTCCTGCCCCCATCTCTTTTCAATTATTACTTTTACATATATATATTCACACATTTATATAAATACAAACTTCTGAATCTACTCAGTAATGAAGTAATATTTAAAAAATGATTTTATTATTTGTTAATAGACACTTTAGAGAAAAATTTCCAGGTTCTGAAGAGAAATATTTCAATACTAATTCATCAGTAAGTTGCAAAGAGAAATAACAGTTGACAAAACAACTATTTTAAATACTCTATTTAGATTAGAAGTCCATGACTAAAAGAACAATTCATAGTCACTCAGAAGATCCTTGATAGCAGACTACAAAGTTTCTCACACATACATAAGTCTTCCATAAGCACTTCCTAGGTTATGTGGGAATCATTTCAAACTTTACCTTGTCTTAAGATTTTCAAGGTCTTCAGAAAAGATACTATAATTTTTTGTCAGGAATGGTCCCAGTTGGTTATCTTCTAAACCCAAGTCTTTAAGAAATAGGAGTATTTGCTTAATGTCTTTTTCAAAATCCAGTCTTAGAAGGAGGTTGGCTGCATCTACATGTCTTTCTATCTTAGACAAATCCACTCCTGTAACAAATGAAAAGGATTGGTTTGAGGACAATTTCTTACTCAGCCACTAATTTCATTCAGGATAAAGTACTGATGAAAAATCTATTTATGGGAGAAATGACAGACAGATGGAACTTTTTAAATGAAACTGGTTGCAGAATAAATCAAAATCAATTGTAATGTTTATGTCAGTGGTCAATGTAGAAAGGAAAACAAAACATTTGTGCTTACATTTCCCCCAAAGAGAAAGTCCCTAAATCACACTGACAGCTGCTTGGGAGGCTGAGTTAGGAGGATCCTAAGTTTGAGGCCTGCTTGGGTTATACAGTGAGCTCATGGTCAATGGGGAAACCTGAAGAGACTATTTTAAAATACAAAAATAAAATAAAATTTAAAAAGACTAGAGAGGGGTAGTTCAGTGGTTCAGTCCTTACTTAGTATACATAAGTTCCACAAGTTCAATCCTTAGTACAACAAAACAAAACCCATTTTCTAAAATTATTGCTAGAGGCACCTTTATATTAGCCTTACTTATAAAACAACGAAATTAACATTTTTCCCTTATAGTGTCCACAATCAAAAATATCATCATATTCACTCGCCAATTTCAGAAACAAATGTAATTCAAATTTAATTTCTTGATATGACAAGTGTGTGCACACCGACCTACACCACACATGGAACAGAGACCAGAAACATATCCAGAATGAAATAAAACAATTCACCACACACTAGTGGCAGTATTTATTTCAACAAGAAAAAAATAATTAAAGTACAATGGGATCACTCATTACACTGAAATGTTTCTGTGTCCTAGTGGGAACAAGGGTATCTCTTGGAATAGCTGAAATTCTATCAACTATATGTAATTCTTTTGTAACTTAAAAATTACACAAAATCAAGTGTAATCAATGAATGAATAAAAAAAAATGAGATGGAAGCCAGTTTTCATGGGGAAACATAGCTTTAAAAATAACCTAAAAGACTAGGACTCCAAGTGAGTTTATACATGTTTGAGGGCCTTGCTCAGTGTAACCTGTCACACCCTGTCTGTGAAGAAATGGAAAGCCGCTTTCTAGCAGCAGTGGGAGAGCACAATCACATCAGGAGAGCTCAAATCACTCAGCTCACTCAGGATTCTACTAAAACAAAACACAAGACACTGACTGCCCACTGTGGACCAGACACTTCTGCTAAGCACTGGGGACAGAAAATGAGCAATATAATACTCTAACAGATACTGACACTGCATCTATGACAGCTACATATATTTACTCATCAGTCAGATCTGGAAATCACTAAATGTTATCCCACAGAGCTCAAATAAAAAGAAATGTAATTCAGTGGTATGGGCAGAGCCAAGTGGGCACATAAAGGCTTCTAGCAGCAGAGGTAGGGAGACCAAGCCTTTTCCAGAGTCAGAGGGAACTGTAAGCTACATGACAGGAGCTGTTGCCATGGAGTGAGTAGTTAAAGGACCTGAAGAAGAGTGAGAACGAGGAAAATGACCTGACCTCGCTCGCCCTTCTGGCCTTTACGCTGCTCTGGCAGAAGCTGTCTAGAAGCTGGTTGGCATAGGATCCCCTGAGCACAGGACTGGCCTCCTAGGATGTAGAACAAGCAGAGAAAGGAGGAAAACAAACAGAAGAGGACCGTAGGCTTTATTACAAAAAACACAGACAAGCAACACGGGATCCTCTGAGTTACTGCCATTTACAGTTACTTCTAAGACATACTATTGAGGTTATTGGCACATACAAAAAAGCTGTTCTGGAAGGAAAGTTAACTTACTCTCCTGCTTGTAGCAGGTATCAGATGTCATCTCTCACCTCTGATCTTACTACAGAACATCTCTTAAGGCCTGAGAAGACTTTGAAGATCTGTAGCAGTTAACCAGTGCTGTCAATTGGCGATTTAGAAAGAACACTAACACTACAGAGATTTTTCAGGGCCAGGTGCTGCTGTAGTTAGGCTCAGGAGGTCTTGTAAACATGAGGGCTTGAGTTTAATCCCCAGAAGCCACGAAAAAAACCAAAAACTAAAAAACAAACAAACAAGCCTGGCAGGGTGGTATGCACTTGTAATTCCAGCACTGGGTAAGCAGAGACAGACAAATCCTGGGGGCTCACTGGCCAGTAAGTTTAGCCTATTTGCAATTCCAGACCAAGGAAAGAACCTGGTTTAAAACAAAACAAAAGGTCACATGTATACATGTACACACACACACACACACACACACACACAAACACACTCTCTCAGTGACAAATGAGTAGTAGTAAAGGAGGGTAACTACAGGATAAGAGTGAACTTGAGAGACATGGAACATGGAGGGTAAGGCCCTGAACAGATAGATGTTAAGGAAGGAGGGAGGGAGGAAAGACAGAAACAAGGACAACCCCTTAGGGTCTCTGTTGTGGCACAGGCATTCTTTTCCCTTTTCTGATAAACAAAACAGCTTTCCAAGACATGGGGAATGAGAAACAAAAAGGGGGCTTCTTTGATAAAACAAGATCTACCTATATCCCACAAACACAACATACAAAAACAGACTTATCAGGGAGAATAAGAAACTGAAAGGGCCGGGTGGTGGCGCACACCTTTAGTCCCAGCACTCAGGAGGCAGAGGCAGGAGGATCTCTGTGAGTTCAAGGCCAGCCTGGTCTTCAGGACAGGCTCCAAAACAATACAGAGAAACCTTGTCTCAAAAAAACAAACAAAACAAAACAAAACAACCTGAAAGGCCCAAAATAAGAATTCTAATGGAAGATGCCAGTATGTGAAACACTGAAACTTTTAGAATTTGGACATTTTGGATTTTGGATGACCAACTGGTAAAGTCTATGCAAATATTCTGAAAAATATGGTAAAGCCTTGAATTTCAAACACTCCTGGTTCCAGGTTTTTGGATAAGGAATACTTGTGGTTGTTTAAATGAAAACGACCCTCACTGGCTCAGAGGGAGTGGTATTACTGAGGTGTGGTCTTGTTGGAGGAAGTGAGTCACTAGGGGTGGGCTTTGAGGTCTCAAATGTTTAAGCCAGGCCCAATGTCTTTGCTCTCTTCCTGCTGCTTGTGGATCCAGATGCAGACCTCTCAGCTCCCCTCCAGCACCGTGTCTGTCTGCATGCTGCTACGCTCCAGCCCTAATTAAATGTCTTCCTTTACAAAAGTTGCCATGGCTATGGTATCTCTTCACAGCAACAGAAACCCTAAGGCAATACTCAACACCCATGAACAACCACAACCAGAAACTGGAGACCCTAGAGATTAAGAGGTCCAAGAGGAAGTACAAGAACAGGGAGCTATGTGTGTGGGAACTCTGATTCCTCAATCTCTTACCTATCCAATTCCTCTCAATTCCTCCCCAGGGTCATGACTGAGAAAATCAAGAAGTACCAAACTAGACTGAAGGAAGACAGGTTCAACCAGATTACAGACAAGACCAAAGGAAGGCTCTAGCTTCCTTTCATTATCTAGATTCCAGGATAACCTTCTAGCCAGCATATTAAGAAAGTTATGGTACAGGCTGAGAGAACAATCTGGACGTGGGCAGCGGGCTCCAGGAGGAAGGCAAGGGGATAACATCACAGAGAGCACCATGGGTCAACAAATGAACACATCACGGGCTGACTGGCCAGTTAGAAACTTACCAAGCTGCACTAGTCGCTGCAAAGTCTCGGAATGATCTATGTAGTCTCCAAGTGTGAAGGAGGATAGAGGCAAAAGAGGGTGTGCAACAATCTGAATAGCCTCCTCCTCTGAAATTGGTTGCATGGGAGACAATGGAGGTAAGTCGTCCAGCTCTTCACAGTGAGTTGTGAGGAAAGAGAGAAGCAAGTCAGCACTGTCATATTCACATGCGGGGAATTATTTTTATAAAGGGGCCACAGAACAGCACTTACTGCTCTTGTAGTTTGTATCCTAGCACCTACATTAGGAAGCTCACAACCCTATAACTCCAATTCTAGGGCCTCCAATACCATCTTGTGGGCTCCGTGGGCACCTATACTCACACGTACTGAGATCATTTCAGAATTAGATGTTTATGAAGTCCGAGCCTAGAGGGATGGGCCACACCTGGGAGGCTTAGACAGGAGAATTACAGCAAGTTTGAAGCCAGCATGGTCTAATAGTTGCCACCCTCATACCACAAAGGTCCAAAAATATCCTAAGAATAGAGAGACCAACTATTCTTCCTTCAAGGTAAGAAGTTTGTTGGTAAGGCTCAAGGTATTCAATCCATTTTTGAGACAGTGAACACAAACCAGGCAATCCTCCTACTGCAGCTCCCTAAATGCCAGGATTACAGGTTACCTTGTCTGAGTAAGGCACAAAACTACTCATCATTTTCATCAACAGGTAAGAATATTAAAGATCTACTGCTCTTCAACCACATTCCAAGAGACATGGTTTGTCAACTTGGCCAAAAGTATGACTTTTTTTTAAATACCCCAAATCAACATTCTAAAGTTATGATATCCAGAATTTATTCATTTTGATCCAATGCCCTCCTCTCCAAATTCTTGTAAGAGAATTTCTACGTTCCTACCATCTGCAATCCTTTGTCAGTCCTGTATTCTGGCCTGATATGGAGTCCTTTGCTATTGTTTTAACACAATTTGGCATGGAAGACATCTGAAATTTTAATTTTAAGGAACCCAGACTATGATCTCTTACTGTTTTACTCTATTAACTATCCTTTCTCATTTTTCACAGCCACCTTCTCCTCCCTGCCTCCGCTTTTAGCACTCATTCACATTCTGCTAATGGGGTATTATTCTCCTGTGGTATAACAATGTAATCCTATGTCAACAGTCATGGAGAGAGGAGTGTTGACTATAAAGCAATTCAAGGGAATTCACTGTTCCCCTTTGGTAATTATTTCACAATTAAATATATATGTCAAAACTGTATACTCCTATAGTGGCATCTTGTTCAGCCAGTGGATTTGCTGTGGTGGCCTAAGGGCATGGCTTCAGGTGTGTGATGTGACCCCTTATAAGGAAGAGGAGGGGCTGGCTGTCTCTCTTGGGTTGTGGTCAGAGCATCCAAAAGGGCAGAGACTGCATATAGTGTGTGGCCACCATCACAAATTCTCTGGCTGAACAGGACGCCGCTACATACTCCAAAGATAAATATATCAACCAAACCCTAATAATTCTCATTAATGCCAAAAAGGACACTTTTCAAAAGAAGCTACAAAATCCAATATTTAGAAAATGAATGTTTTACACATTTAGCTATAAAATAATCTGACACAAATTAACCTGGGAACTTACTAAAATAGCAGTTTAATAAAAATAAATGACTGGAGCCCACATTGTTCCTTTTCCTGCCTGGTATAAAACAGGAGATGAAATGGGTATTGTTTATATAGCATGATCAAAACTACCCCTGAAAAGGGGACTTCTCACAATGTCCAGAATTACCTTCAAGAGGCAGCTCAGATTCAAGACTGGGTATTATCTCCGGCTTTTCACTCACTGAAGGGAGCAGAGTGCTTTGCAAAGAACTGTTCTCTTGCCTATTGGAGTTGGCAGACTGGAAACTATTCCACAAGGAGGAAGTCCTGTAAGTCTTAATTTCCCACTGGAGAAAGCAATTGTCAGAGGACAACAACAGAGCCTGAGGTGAGAAGCCGTTTGACAATGTTTTTCCTGGTCTTGCAGATTGTTTTGTGATTTGCGAAGCTTTAATAAAACTACTCAGTTTAATTGAGTTGAACCATCTGGGTATCTGACCCAGTAACAGGGCCATTTTTTTCTTAGTCTACAAAGGAAAAACAGAACCATTAAAAAGAAGAAAGATTAACTTACTCAAATGTGTAAAAACAGTAATCAAACAGCAAATAGGTAATAAATTACTTCCTAAAATAAAGGATTTAAATAAATATGTCCAGGGCAGTCCAATGTTTCTTATATATGAAAAGCCACAAGCAAAGGCAGTCTCAGCTACCAATCAAAAAAGGAACTTCCCAACTAGAAAAATAGAAGATATGCTTTACAATTTAAAAACAACACAAAGAATCACTTTAAACCAAAAAAGTCTGTAAATGCTTAAATTGCAACAGATCCAAATCAACTGCTAATTTGCTCTTCAAAAGGAACTGGAACAGTAATGCAATGAAATGTTCTTGCAACTTGGTTTGAAGTATATTTAGGAAACACACTGCAGATTACAATGCTGAGTTATTAAAGTATATTTTATGCATAAAAATTAGTCACAAAGTAAACAAAAAGAAACAATATTGCTAAACAGAACACTTAAACTGTTGACTGAATCTGATACCCAGTCCTTCAAAAGAGAACAAAGGTGGTTTGGTAAAATCCTGCTACAAGAAAAACGACAGCTTTCAAACAGAAAGGAGCAGCTGGGCATGGTGATGAATGCCTCCTCTAGTTCCCTCTTGGGACACAGAGACAGCATTGAAAGTTTAAGGCAAGTTGGAGCAATGTATTTGAGGATGTTTAAAAAAAAAAAAAAAGAAAGAAAAAGAAAAAACAACAAAACCCAAACAAGCAACAAACCAACCCCAAAACCAAAACAGCAGAAACAAAAGAAGTGACCAGCAATACTTAAATATTAATTAAGATAATGGTTATTATGGACTAGACAGACAAAAATGCTAATTATCAATTAACTCTTGCTTATGACTCTGTACCTTGTTTCTCTACACAATGGAATTCAGCTTGATTTATGGCCTGAATTGAGTGTCTAATATTAGTCTAGGAGGATCTAACAAACACCTGAGGGTCTTATGAGGTTTGCAGTTTGGGGATGCAGGCTGAGAGTTACACAATAGCAAATCTCTTTCCTTCTGAAATGACCTGAGGAAGAACGTGTTTGGGTAACTTCTGCTAAATTTTAGTTGGAAAGGGACTTCCAAACTGTTAAACTTCTGTCCTCCACAGTAGTCACATCAAAGTGAGAACCCAGTTATGTCATCTGGACAAGACTAAACTTCTAGTGAGGCTTTAGCACAGCCAGGAAGGTCTGTCTACCCACAAATGGCATGGACAGCTGTTAACTATGCGGCTCAACACAAAATCCTACGTTTTCTTAAAATACTTTCTCCCATGGGAGTTGTAACTTGACAGCCAGGTTCTTGCTGTGAATTCTTGGCAATATCAAGACCGGACATGGCATTGTAGCCCATGATGAAGACTCAAAAGCTGTTCTCCACACACAATGCTTTTATGTGTGCTGTGCTGGAGAAAACGCAACAGCTACAGTTTAACCTGTGCTACCCTCTCAGCTGCAAGGTATGTTTTTATTAAGGTGGAGAATACAACGAAACGACCCGTCAAAGCACTTTGTGATACTTCCGAACCAACCCCAAGGTCATTCTGGGGGTTCATTCTGGACAGACTCCAGAATGAAACGCAATAAATAACCTCCCCACATCCAGTGAAACCACTGTTAAATTCCACTTGCATCCAAAGATCTGAATACTGAGGACTAATTTTCACCCTCCCCTCACATAACCGATTCAATGTCCAATGAAGGGGAAAAAGGCAGAGCTCCGCGCCCTCCCTGGACCAGCGTCCCCCCAAAACCTTGAACCTCAGGGGGTTCCAGTTTGTCCTGAGAGGGCGAGCGCAGGGCAAGCGCAGGGCAAGCGCAGGCGCACGCAGCTCCCGGGAACAAGTACAGATCTGCACTAGTGCACAGCGCCCTGTGGCCGTAGACGAAAGAAGGAAAAAAAAAAAAAAAGAATCCTTAACCCCTCGCAAGTCAATCGCGGGTCATTCCGGTTCTCGGCTGCACTCGGTGTTGTTCTTTGAA